CAGTAACAACGAAAGGCTGCCTGCAAGCAGCGAGCTGCAGAGCCCACATAAGCAACCATCAAAGGAGGAAGAAGCTGCACCGCTATGCTATGGATCGGAATCAGTAGCTCTTCGTGAGTCGCTGCGGGTCGGTCATCTATGCCATGCGTGTCACCCTCGCTCCAAACGGTTTACAGCTCGACACCTTCATCCGTGTTGAACACCCAGCTCAGAATTACTCAACCATCACTACAAAACGGTCCTTTTCAGGGCCACCAAAAATTTGTTAAAGAGTATTATTTGGACATTGGTCAAGGTCATCAGTTCCCGCAAGCAGCTAGCTATCAAGGCTCAACCTGTCTATAGAAGGTGTGGAATTGTAGGCCTGAATATATTTGTGCAATTAGTTTTTCCTCGGCATTCATTCCGCACGATTCGTTTCTTTCGTTTAATCAATCACCCTTGTAATGACTTCGAAAAGGTTGTTTCAATCGGCGCTTACATATGAAATTCAATGTGGATTATAGAATTTTTTGTTTGTTACCAAAATTTATGAATGGTTGCCACTAAATGTTGAGATAATTGATTGATTATTGAATTATCACACTGTATACCATGAAAAAGCAGCCTGTTTGTGAGTTTTTGCCTGTTTTCAAGTAAGGAGTTATCATAAAAAAAAAAACAAATCGCCAGCAGGTATTTCCCGGCGAATTTACAAATAAATAAAATCAAACAAAATCATCATGCAGAACTAGCTAGGATTTGTCTTACTTCATATTTCACAAAATTGCTTTCGAGTGTTAAGACATCGTCTCCCGCAAAGTTTACATTTTTCCCTCTACCAACACATACATCAGGGCTAGATAGATCTCCACAGGATCTATAGAATCCACGCAATTTCAAAAAACCAAAATGCACAGCATTACGAAAAGAGGTCAGGTTTCGACCAATAGCAGATAGATTTTAATTCTAAACAAACCAAACGATTGGAAATTTATCTACCAATCTGCTAAAATGCACACCTAGTTAATTTTAAATAGGTCACTATTGAAAAATACCAAATGTCCAACTGTTGCAATGGTGATCATAATTATCACCGAATGTCTGAAAACAGCGCATTCCCTAACACAGACTTTAAAATCGAATTCGATGCGGTCCCACTGAACGGTGTTCATTCAATTACCGTAAGTGGTGGTTTCCAGTCCAGCAGCAGCAGCAGCAGGAGTGCTTTCAACAACAACAACGAAAGGCTCCCTGCAAGCAGTGAGCGCAGAGCTCATATGAGCAACCATAGAGAAGGAGGAAGAAGTCTTACCGCTAGGCTAGGATCGGATTCAGTAGCTCGTCGTGCTCAGCTCAGCATTACTCAACCATCACTGCAAAACGGCCCTTTCCAGGACCACCAAAAATTTGTTAAGAGTATTATTTGGACATTTGTCAAGGTCATCAGTTCCCGCAAGCAGCTAGCTATCAAGGCTCAACCTGGTCTTTATAGAAGGTGTAGAATTGTAGGCCCGAATGTATTGGTGAGATTAATCATCGTCCGACCATTTTCCAGAAGATGAGACAAGTGGGAATAATTCGCTTTGGGTTTCAATCAAATGAGAATATTAGCTCTCACGACTCGTTTCGACTCGTGAGTCACGAGTTAAATCTCTCGAGTCCCTCCTTTTTTACATATTCTGCACAAACGATACTTTCCGCTCCACCCCATTCATATAATTCCGAAGGAAAACCTGTGAGGGATGAATTGAATACACTTTAATACCAAAATGCACAAAACTTAAACATTCATAAATAACAAAAAAATTGAAATATGTACACCTTTTAAAGTCGGGTAGATGAACCGAAAATACTCAAGTTGACAGTCCCTTGGATTCTCTTAATCAACTTTCTCATTGAAATAAATACTACAAATTTGATACGCTTACAATTAAAAAATGGAAAGAGTTAAGATAATTGATGATTGATCAATTAAAAGAACTAAATGTTCACATTTGTTCCGTCCACTAGCGGTCCTACGTCAAGCTTCCGTTCGTGCCCCTAGGCACAGACCCTTCTACTTTTTTTCTAAACCACTCAAAGACGTCTTATCATAACGTGTATTAGTTAATACCGGTTCCTATAATGCGGTCCCTATTAACCGTACTATAGGGATCTTGAGCACTTTAACGGATGTTCCGGATTTTCCGGTGTATCATCCCTTGGTCCCCTGGGTGCATATTCTAGATACAACACCAAATGCATTCTGATAAGACGTCTTTCACGACGATCAGTTTCATGAATTTACCACTATCACGGATGTTCCGGATCATCTGGAGGACCATCCCATGGTCTTCAGTGTCCATATTCCAGTCACAACTCCGAATTCATTCTGATAATGTGTATAGGAGTGATTTTAAAAAATCTGCTGAGCTCTAGGATCAGATTCATGAATTGACCACTTTTACGGATGTTCCGGATCTTCCAGTGGACCATCCCATGGTCCTCTGGGTCCATATTCAGGTCCCATCTTCAAATTAATTCTGATAAGACGTCTATGAGCGGAGCGGAGCTCTAGGGTTAGTTTCATGAATTGACCACTTTTACCGATTTTTCGGGTCATCCGGAGGATCAGATTCGTGACATTCCGGATGCTAAATGTTTCCAAAAGGTGAAAATTTTTCTTTTTAATAACTTTTCAGAAGACACCAGAAAGTTATCTCTTCAAATTACCCTACAATAAGCGTTTGTCTCCAATTAGCTCTAATCCCATATGCTACCCCAAATAATAATTTTCGCAATGTAAACGCTTTACTCATTTCATTTATACAGCCTCAAACCATAGAGGTAACTCTAAGACTAGAAGGTCCCGAAGAAACGTGCTCAACTTTTTGGCTCAGCTCTGGTACTATCTTCGGTCCCAAGCTAATCGATGAACCCCTCGAAACATAGGAAAATTCACGAACCCCTTATTTTATCTGTCAAACTTTCATAGCGAATCAAAACAAACATTGTGTAGTAATTTCGACTAGAATGGGGTACGTTAATCGATTTGCTTGGGACCAATAGGCTAGTCAAGTAGTGAGCCAATTTAAAATCGTTAGTTTCCACCGGTTCTCAAACTGTATTCAAATGTTATACGATATGAGAAAACCTTTACTAAACCTCTATACAAGCAAATCTGGCGAACTTAGTCAACTACTTATGGCTGTTGTGACGGTTGGGATAAGCTCTTATTGCATGCATATCTATTTACGCTTCTATATAGCTGTTATCCTGCTGTTTAGTTGTGTGAGAACTTGAAAGGCACTTACTCAACCTTTACCCGATTATCCAATAATCACTACACAGCTTTCTCTTGACGCCAGGTAAAATACTGTTTACGTTTTTTTTTTGGAGAAATATTATGTTTATTTTGAATCAAATTAATCGAAATTAGTTATAAGCAACACCACCCAATTATTTACACTGTACCGGAACCTGGAATCGAACTCGAGACGACTGCAGTGGCGAACCTTGATACTACCAACGTCGCTTGTGACTTATAAAGCTGAAAATGTTAGTTGGGACGTGTATTTGTTAATGCCGGTTCCTATAGTGCGGTCCCTATCAACCGTACTATAGGAATCTTGACTGTATACTCAGAATTGATAGCAATAGAGCGAATCAGGCGAGAAACTGAAAGATATGAAATACGTTAACACCAAAAATGATAGATTAAAGACTGAACGATTAATATATAAAATCGTTCGGAAAAAGTTTTTGGATTAAACTCTCCCGATTAATTTTATCTCCTAAAACGTAGCTAAAATAGTCTTAAGAAAAAAAATGAAAATGATTGATTCGCTCTACTAAGCGATCGCTTAACTGTTACAAATAAATGTACTTGAAAACGACTCTGCAATTAGCCACGGTATGCTCAGCTGTCAATTTTCGTTCGATTCTGCAATCAACGAAGCGTGTAGCTATCTTCACACCGATCATATATCCGATTGATTCGAGAAAACAAATATGAAAATAGAGATAAATACGCAATACGTCTAAACGGCGATTGAGAACGACCCAAATTTGAGTTTAGCTCACTCATAATCAAATCACCAAGGTGTAAGGAACGCAGCGATGAGTAAATTTGCCTCATGGTTTCCTGTGGAAAACCACAAAAATCTGCCGGAAAATGAGGAAAATTGACGAAAATTTTACTCAGTCTAGGAATAGTACCAATAGACTGAGTGAATCCAATCTTTACTTTTCTCATATTCAGGAAATTTTTCCTGGACAAACCTGGAAAAACATGAGGCAAGTTTACTCATCGCTGAGTTCCTGTACTTTATGTGATTTATGAGTTAACTGAACTCAAATTTGGGTCGTTCTCATTCGCCGTGTACTAAGCTCTTTATGGAAATGTTGTTCACCTTGCAGCCAATTTTTAGTTGTGTGGATGTTTCAGCTTGAACGAAATTATTAGTTTTGACCTGATTATAAATACAAACGATGACATACGTTTTGTTAAAACTTCTGCCATTATTACCCATTTGAAATTCAGAAGCTAATTAAATCATAGAAACAAGACTTTTTGTTCTGCTAGTTTTATCAAATTCCCGACTTTTTCTTGCTTTTTCCCGCTGAATTTAAAATCCTGACTTTTTCCGGGTTTTCCTTGTGCAGCAATCAGGTTTCTTTGAATCAGTTTAGAATCAATTTCAACTTCCACCTTCCCCAAGCTAAACGATTAAACCGCAAGGTAGGTACAGTATTTGTGCGGTTAACCATGCACAGCCATTAGCAACTGGTTAATGTGGTGTCAGCTGTGAACATTGAAACATGATATCAATTAAAAACTGCACTTTGCAACGCTTCAATAAATGCCACAATCTTATGTTGGTTTTCTGAGGAAGTGTGATCGGTCTAATGATGAAGGAGAATGGTATGTTGTTGATTTCGTTTGGTAGATACTTTCGGAAATTTTATTAAATACGTATTTACATATCAATTCAAACAGCGAATAATATGCACCTAATCTTTCCTTTTGTTTTGGTATTTAGTTGATGTATTCTTCTTTATCACATTGATTTAGTTATTTAAATAGACAATATTATATGTACACTCTGTTTCTTTATTTTTGTGTATGTCGTACTTTGAGGCGTCTGTTGTAGATGAAAATGAATGAAGGAATGTGAAGCAAAAAATATGGCTGTAAATTTTTCACCTCGACTGTTTTGTGCATCTGAAGTAAACAAAAGTGTATTTAGCCGCCATAAATTAATTTCACTTTTATTTGTACCAAACGGCAACGCGTATAAGTACGATTGAGCGTCACACATTTAGTGGGTAATGAGATACGTTGCATAACAATAGCAATTGTAAGTACCTTATGATATAGCTTTGACTGAATGGGGCTCACTGATGTATGCTTATTGTGATGATGGGCTATGAGTCAACAGCATCACATCCTCGGGTAGTGGTTTGCGTTTGTACATCGGTTCTGTCACCAGGAATACCACCAGGCCACCGTATACTAGAAGCAGCATTCCGATCATGTTTACTAGTACACCCTGTGGCGGCAGGTATCGATAGTCTCCACTGAAATTATACATTTAGATTAAAGGGTTAGTAGAAATTCTCAAAGATCGTTTCGGTAATGAAACTCACATCGAAAATATTGCTTTCTCAAGAAGTCCAAGCAACGAAGCGGCGATCGCCAGTATGAATCCAACAATGCCGAAGAACACGTGAATCGGCATGTATGTGGAACGGAGGGATTCGCGTACTCCCGGGAATAGATATGATACGAATCCAAACAGGTACTGCAAGGATAGGGTTAGAATTTCGAATCATTCATAGGATTTAGGACAGCTTACCTGACATCCGAACAGGACAACCGCTGCCATTCCGACCCACGAATGCAGCGTATACATGTTCGGAATGGGGGTTTTGGCCAAATTATGAGAATCGAAGGCAGCTACCAGAGCAATGACCGTGAAGAGAAACGCTAGTCCATGGATGACGGCATGGGTGACCTTCAGTGGTTTCTTCCGAGCGTAACGCAACCCTCTGTAGACCAAGATGGCTGCAAAAGTAGAACAGAGTTCCTGACATGTGCCACTTGTATGACTTTATAATCTACTTACAATTTCCGTACAGGAAGATCATCCCGAACGACATCAGCAAAGGGTGCCAGTTGAACTGAACCGCAGGATTGGACGACCATGAAAGTCCTCCCAAGTGCACGCCGACCCAGGAACCGATCAGTATGATGATCGTAGCGCCCACCATTTGTGTAATCAGGTACACGATGCGGAAATTGTTCAACGATGTTGGTGACGGGCCACTGCCTTCCATTATGATAGAGTTTCACTGCAAGTGTTTAATAGACTAAGTGACTGCGAGGCACGTTTAACGATAAGAATGTTGCAATCCCAACTAATGTATTGATGTTATTGTTTCATACTCTACAGATTTTGAAGGTTTGTTTTAGTGATTAAATAAATCTGCGATTAAATTTTATGATTGAAATGGGCTCATTTGGTGCCCTTCAATGGAAAACAAGTGATCGGAAAAAAACTTAAGTAACAGGCACTTTGAAGGCTACGACTATTCATATGCCCTTCAAATACACATGAAAAGGATTGTTTAGTTCCGCTTCTTTTTCAACTCTTTATTTATTCCAAATTCAAAATAAATTACATTTCATTTTAATCTAGTAGTTGGAGACTACAGATTATTTGGTTCCGCATTTGAAAGTTCGTTTGGCTCGTCATTTGGTGTTTTTAATTTCAGAATCTGCACGTCTCCAGTTAATCGTAACTGTTCCATTTTTTTTTGAGGTTTTTATTTGTTCCAAATTCAAAATAGATTACATTTCATTTTAACCTAGGTGCTCCAGTTACTGCAGTAACGTACCAGCCTTAATTGTTATGATATATATCTAAGTGTTTTTACATTGTTCATGTCTTGGCAATTCAGTATTTTAAACAGGTTTTTTAACCTGCATGTCAGTATAACAATTGATATCTTAAAACTAAAAACAAAAACTAAATCTTATCTAAGTATAAAGGGAATTAATCGTTGCAATTGAGGATTGCAACGATTTTTGCCTGAAATTATTAATTATTTTGTTGGACATTTGTTCTAAAGTGTCAACATTCGAAATTCTATGTACCTCGGTAGTACTGAACCAGGGAGGCAACTTCAAAATCATTTTCAGAACTTTGTTCTGAATCGTTTGAAGTGCTTTTTTCTTGGTAGTGCAACAATAAGACCATATTGGCACAGCGTAAAGCATAGCCGGTCTAAAAACTTGTTTAAATATTAGAAGTTTATTCGTCAGGCAAAGTTTGGATTTCCTGTTTATAAGAGGATACAAACATTTAATATATTTGTTACATTTGGCTTAAATGCCCTCAATGTGATCTTTAAAGGTTAATTTTTGGTCAAGTATTAATCCAAGATATTTCACTTGGTTTGACCAGGAAATTGGAACTCCGTTCATAGTGACTATGTGACTACTACTAGGTTTCAAAAACGAAGCTCTAGGCTTATGTGGAAATATTATAAGTTGAGTTTTGGAAGCGTTGGGAGAAATTTTCCATTTTTGTAAATAAGAAGAGAAAATATCTAAACTTTTCTGCAGTCTGCTGCAAATAACACGAAGACTTCTTCCTTTAGCGGAAATGCCTGTGTCATCAGCGAACAAAGATTTGTGGCAACCCTGAGGCAAATCAGGGAGATCCGAAGTGAAAATGTTATACAATATAGGCCCAAGAATGCTACCCTGAGGAACTCCTGCTCTAACAGGTAGTCGATTAGATTTGGAATTTTGGTAATTTACCTGCAGAGTTCTGTCAGTTAAATAATTCTGAACTAATTTAATAATATAAAGTGGAAAATTAAACTTTTTCAATTTAGCAATCAAACCTTCATGCCAAACACTGTCGAATGCTTTTTCTATGTCTAGAAGAGCAACTCCAGTTGAGTGGCCTTCAGATTTGTTTGAACGAATTAAATTGGTAACTCTTAAGAGTTGATGAGTAGTTGAATGCCCATGGCGAAATCCAAACTGCTCATCTGCAAAAATTGAGTTCGTATTGATGTGAAGCATCATTCTATTCAAAATTATCTTTTCAAAAAGTTTACTTATTGAAGAAAGCAAACTTATTGGACGGTAGCTAGAAGCTTCAGCTGGATTTTTATCCGGCTTCAAAATTGGAACAACTTTTGCATTTTTCCATTTATCAGGAAAGTATGCCAAATGGAAACATCTGTTAAATAATTTTACCAAGAAAGACAAGGTACTCTCTGGGAGTTTTTTGATGAAGATATAGAAAATTCCATCATCACCTGGAGCTTTCATATTTTGAAACTTTTTAGTTATAGACCTTACTTCGTCCAAATCAGTCCCCCAGGAATCATCAAAAATATTTTCCCGAGAGAAAATATTCCGAAAATCCCGAGCAACCTGATTCTCAATAGGACTAGTAAGACCCAAACTGAAATTATGGGAACTCTCGAATTGCTTAGCAAGTTTCTGAGCTTTTTCCAAATTTGTGATCAAAATTTTACCACCTTCTTTAAGCGCTGGAATAGGCTTTTGAGGTTTTTTCAAAATTTTTGTGAGTTTCCAAAAGGGTTTGGAACTCGGGTCTAATTTAGAAATATTATTTTCAAAAGTTTTGTTCCTCAGGGCAGAGAATCGCTTCTTAATTTGTTTTTGCAAATCCCGCCAGATAACCTTCATGGCAGGATCGCGTGTTCTTTGAAACTGTCTCCTACGGACATTTTTAAGACGGATCAAGAGCTGAAGATCGTCGTCTATTATAATTGAATCGAATTTAACCTCGCATTTTGGTACTGAGGCAGCTCTTGCTTCAACTATAGAAGTAGTCAGAGATTCAAGAGCATAATTAATTTCATCTTTGGTTTGCAAAGGAATGTTTGGATCGAAGTTATATTCCATAAATGTTCGATATTGCTCCCAATCAGCCCTATGGTAATTGAAAGTAGAGCTGTTGGGATTAAAAATTATTTCTTGGGATATTTCAAAAGTTACTGGAAGGTGATCAGAACCGAAGTCAGCATGGGTAACCAATTGGCTACAAAGATGACATGAATCAGTTAAGACCAAATCAATAGTTGAGGGATTTCTTGCAGAAGAAAAGCATGTTGGGCTGTTTGGATATTGAATAGTGTAATAACCTGCAGAACAATCATCAAACAGAATATTACCATTGGAATTGCTTTGAGCATTATTCCATGAGCGGTGTTTTGCATTAAAATCACCAATAATGAAGAATTTAGACCTATGACGGGTAAGTTTCTGGAGGTCACCCTTGAGAAAATTCTTTTGCTGGCCTACGCATTGGAATGGCAAATAGGCAGCTATAAACGTAAGTTGTCCAAATTTTGTTTCAACAGAAACTCCCAAAGTTTCAAAAACTTTGGTTTCAAATGAAGAAAGAATTTTATGCTTGATTCGTCTATGAATAATGATGGCAACGCCACCACAGGGTCCATCCAGACGATCATTTCTATAAATCATTAATTTGCGTCCTTCTTAACCTTATGGTCAGGTTTAAGGAACGTTTCAGTTATAACGGCAATATGCACGTTATGAACTCTCAAAAAATTAAATAGCTCGTCTTCATTATCTTTAAGAGATCGAGCATTCCAATTTAAAATGTTTAATGCTTTAAAATCCATTACTGAATTTTAAAGTCATGACAATATTATTAGCAAATTTTACTCCAGTTTGAATAGCATCAAACATGGAGTTAGATTTAAGCATATCAGAAATCATGTCAATTAATGAATTCTGTAAAAATTCCATTTTAGGGGCAGTAATGCTTCCTAAGTCAAAATTGTCAAAATTTTCGTTAGAACGTTGGTTAGTATTTTGATTTCTACCCGCTGCAATAGCAGCATAGGTAGCTCCATTAACTCGCTGAACATTGTTAGCAGCGAGGGGAGTAGGTACAGATGAAACATTTGAAGCAGGGGTGATATTTGTACCTACGGGTACGAATGTAGAATTTGTTCCTCCAGTCTTCCTGAAGTGTTCCCACTTCACTCGGACATGGAGCATAAGGCTAGCTTTTTCTAAGGCCTTAAGGTTGTTTAGTTCACTAGACTTGAAGTGAACTAAATAAAAATCATTAGAAATCCCGTTGCGCGAATCGCCAGGACGGGATTTCATTTTCATTTTGATTACTTGGAGTGGCACAACTCCAAGTAATTTTGCCAGTTCATCTTTGATCTGATCCAGGGATTCACCACTGGGCAGTCCTTTCATGACAACCTTGAACACTCGTTCAGTTTTGGTGTCGTAAGTAAAAAAATTGTGCTTCTTCTCAGTAAGATACTTGAGAAGACATTTAAATCCGTCCATGGTTTCAGCCAATACACGGCATTCACCCCGACGTCCAATTTGTAGTGAAAACTTAACTTTCACGAAATTCAAAAGTTCCATGCGAAGAGCATGGAAATCGGTAGTGGTTATCACAATAGGGGGAATCTTTTCCTTCTTGGCATTAAGCCGGGAAAGTTTACTAGAATTTTTCTTGGATGATGGATCATTCTCATCATCCGTGAGCAAATCAAATTGATTACTCAAATTAATTTCTTCAGAAGGGGGGTCAAGAGTTTGCCCCTTTCTTTTGCGTTTAGGCGCCATGGCGGCAGTAAATTTTTTATCCAAATCGGCTTCCAAGCAGATTACTATAAGAATCTGAAGGATCGAAGAGGAATTTTCCAAATCGATATCCAAGAAGGATTACCTCGGGTAGGGTCCAAACAAGGATCGAAGAGGAATAAGAGGAGTTGAACAAGGTAGAAAATTTTTACAGGTTGAGCACTGATAAGTGCTGTTTAAATTTATTGTAGCTTTAGGTAGTAGTAACACTTCCTTAAGCAAAAAGCAAATAGATCCGCACGGCAAGAGAACACGATGCGGACTGTAACTGTTCCATGGATTTTCGATTGCATATCGGCATAGATGCTGAAGCTGACCATATGAATGCTATTCGCACAAATGTTGCATTTGCATCTATTATTCGCCGGGTTCACCGCTGCTTTTTTTTTCGGTCATCCACTTGGACGTCTTAGTGAAGGTCCCAAAGAAGGGAGATCTGATTGTGTGCGATATTTGACGAGGCATCATATTACCAACCGGAGGACACTAACGATTTTAAATTGGCTCACTACTTGACTAGCCTATTGGTCCCAAGCAAATCGATTAACGTACCCCATTCTAGTTGAAATTCTAGTACTACACTATGTTTGTTTTGATTCGTCAAAAAGTTGAGCACGTTTCTTCGGGACCTTCTGGTCTTAGAGCTACATCTATGAAAATACAGTTTTTC